GCTGGAACAATAGTACAGCGGGTAGGGCATGTTTGCCTTGCACGCGGCTGACCGGGGTTTGATTCCCAGCATCTCATATGGTCCCCTGAGCACCACCAGGAGTAATTCCTGAGTGAACGAGCCAGGAGTAACCCCTGAGCATCGCTGGGTGTGACCCAAAAAGCAAAAAACAAATAAACAAAAAAACCAAATACATTATTTTTTAAAATATTTGTTTGCTTGCTCGTCTACACTCAGCTGTGCTCAGGGTTTACTCCTGACTGGGCTTGGGCAAACATAGGCAGTGCAGGGCATAGAACTGGGAAGCTATGTGCAAAACAAGTACTTTATCCACTGTATTATTTCTCCAACCTCCCTAAATACAGTATCTTATACTTACTAAGCTGTACAAATTACTCAAAACAATCATACTGAGGTCTTCAGTCAGTCATTATGTATTCAGAGCAGAATGAATCACCTGAATTTTATAAGGAGTCACACCACCTGGGTTCTTTTTTCCTTTTTTTTTTTTTTTTTGCTAGCTCTGTGATACTGATCTTCCTTATTGCTTCAGGTTCTCTCAACTTTAAACCAGAAATACTATCAACCTAACTTACAGTAACAAAGTGGGTATATAAAGTGCTTATCGTGCAGTTAATGCCCAATAAATGTCAGTAGATAGCTTTATTTTGTTGACACGTGGTAGTGGTTGAAAGATACTCCCTGCTGTTCAAGGGATTACAGTCCATGTGCTGGGCCTTGAACCCAGGTCTCCTTTATGTAAAATATGAGTTCTAGCCTCTATCTGCTTGGTCTCTGTTAAGCTATTATTTTAGTTACAAATAGGCATAACTACCTCCAAATTGTATGCAAAGAAACAAATGTTGAGACAAGAAACTTGTCCATGCTCAGGAAATTCTAAGATTTTGGAGTGATGATACAAAAACTGTCTGATTCCGGAGCAGAAATTCTTTTCCATTATGTCACAAAATTACATTAAGATTACCTATCAAGGACACCATTAGTCTTACTTCAAAATAATCAGCACAAGACATTTCATTAAGAGATTAATTTAGAACACTTTAGAATATGGAACTAAATTCAAACATGTTACTGAATTAAGTTTGCAGAGCTTTTACATTATGACAAAGCTTTATAATTTCTATATACTATAGTAATATAAAAATGATTATTGTACCAACAGACCTTGGTCCTGAAATAAGTAATTTTATAGTTCCCCAAATAAAAGTATTATAAGAGACCCAGGAAATCTTAAGTCTACCCGCTGTGGTTTCACAATGAGAATGGAAAAAGATAACTTGGTCAATTTCACTGCATAAAAATGATAGATTTTTAGGACAATGATAGGGAGGCAAAAAGTAGAGTGAGAAATGGTCTCACATCCCACAATGAGGTGAAACAAAATGCTGCGCTGGTATTAAAACAGTACAATGATTATGCAGTAAAATATAGTAATCTCTTGCTCTTTAAGTAACTAGATTTTAACTTCTCCAAATTTCACAGTTTAATAACTTCTCAATACTAAGACTGTCAAGGGTTGTCTACCATGTTCATTGTGAATAAGTATACCAAATAATTTCACACCCCAGACTACTCAATGTGAGGGAAAGAGGCTAAGCCCCAAATTTTGCTATCCTGTTACTCTTTACTAGTCTTTTATAAGTTGCTTTCAATTACTTTCTCCATATTAAATTCCCATTCCTTTACAAAAAGGTTAAAAAAAAAAGAGGGAGAAAAAAACCCTCAGTTTAACTAACACTCACATTCTGAAACTCAGGTTTCACTTTTCTATCCTCATTGTGTTTACAGGCTCCTATTGTTATTACTTTAACAATTATCAGGTCCTTTAAAGAGTTATTTCACTTCCTTATCTATTAGATTACAGACTGGTAAACAGCATTCAAGACGTGAATTCTAGATGCACACAACTCAAAACCCACTAATAAATCTTATGTATGTATCTTCATACTGACTACTGTAGCACTGTAGCACTGTAGTTCATTGATTTGCTCAAGCAGGACTTGTTACTGTGTTTGGCTACAAAAGAGGAAATTTTCCTAACACTTTCTCACAAACTTTCCTTTCCAAGTCTTTCTCCTGCAAGCAGCTTCATTCACATATAAACCTCCTGATACATTCCTTTGAATTGGAATATTGAGTCCCTGGGGTTCTTCTTTCATTTTTCCTCACGCTAAAAGTCACCATGTTTGTGAAGCCTTTCCCAAGGTTTTTGTTCCTTTAATATAAACATTTTGTTCATAATCACCTTATAAAAACTATATTTATGGGGGCTAGAGCAATAGCACAGCAGGTAGGGCGTTTGCCTTGCACGCAGCCAACATGGCCGACACAGGTTTGATTCCCAGCATCCCATATGGTCCCCCGAGCATCGCCAGGAGTGATTCCTTAAAGCATGAGCCAGAAGAAACCCCTGAGCATTGCTGGGTGTGACCCAAAAAAGAAAAAACAAAACAAAAAAAAAACTATATTTATGATATCCTAGATGCATAATTTATTATAAATTATTGAAGGACCAAAAAAAAGAAAAAAACCCTAGTTCTCAGGCCTGTCCTGTCCCATAACACTAAGTGTAATACCTTACACAAATTAGACTTTCAAAAACAGCTGCAAACTTAAATATTTGCTTCCTTAGGTTTTTTTTTTGAAGGGGGGGCGCACACATGGCAACACTTGAGGGTTACTCCTGACTCTGCACTCAGGAAATAATCTTGGTGGTGCTCTGGGGACCAAATGAGATGTCAGGGATCAAACTAGGGTAGGCTGTGTGCAAGGCAAGCCACCTTACCCACTATACTATCTTTCCAACCCCAAAGATTTTTTTTTTTTGCTTTTTGGGTCACACCCAGCAATGCACAGGGGATACTCCTGGCTCTGCACTCAGGAATTATTCCTGGCGGTGCTCACAGGGGACCATATGGGATGCTAGGAATTGAACCTGGGTCGGCCACGTGCAAGGCCGCTGTGCTGTCGCTCCAGCACCCCCCCACAGTTTTTTTTAATAGTTCCCATCACATCATTCTCTTCAGCCATTTTAAAGCTAATTAGTCAAACTAATATAAAAATGGTCCAATTTGAAAATAATCTGTATATATAATAGTTCTTATCCAGTCATTAAATCAACTAAGCAAAACTCTGCTACACACACACGCACATACACCCCTTTTCTCCATTAAAAGTTGTAAGAGCCACAAAATAAAACTTTCCCACAGCAGACAGTTAAGCTGTTAGATAAGTCAAGAATCTGTGGTTATTCTGAATTGCTGCACAGTAACCAACTGCAAAGTAATAGCTGAACAGATGATGAAAATATACCAGGATGCATCCCTCTCCAAATACAGGAAATCTCATTAACATATGGATTTCTTAAAAATTTTTCCTCGATAATAGCACCAATGCTGTCAACAACCATTACCATATCTTACTGAAGACTACCCTTTCTTACTTTTACAAAGAACAAGTAGAAGCAATTCAATTCACAAAGCTTTTTTAAATGCCTCCTCTATGCGAGGAAATAAAAGCCAAGACAAATGAGATAACGAACTTCTGCCTTCATAAATCAATAATATCTGAAGTCTTCTTCCTTTAAACACTGCTTCTTAACTAGCAATGTCCAGAGCCATGATTTTGTTCAATCACCAGATATTGTATTGAAAAAGTAAGTTGCAAGTTAAAAAAATTCTGATGGGGGTAAGGTAGAGATGGGAGGAGGAAAAGAAGCTCTTCCCCTTTTATTCCTTGAAAAACCCTTTTATCATTCATGCCTGTCTTTGAAAGCTCTTAAAATACAGTATGAGTATACATGTCAAAGACCAGCAGGCCCCTTGTACAAGTGTCCCAGAAAAAAAACTGGCAACCACATCACATTTTATTTAGTAGTAAAACCACTCTCTCTGCTGTATTAAGACATTTTGAAGCACTCCAGGACCTAATATCGGTATTTCAATTTCAAAAACTCAACCCACTGATCAGAAGATCCATGCCATGACAAAGCTAAAACTATTCTCTGAGTACGGGTGAATCATAGAAATCACCTACCCCACCCATTAGCCACCCTTGCAAAGAGTGCACAGTCCAGAACCTGGAAAGCTGGAAACTTGCCTACTCCACAGCAGGAAGGGATCGGGGTGATTCAATGTAGCTATGTAATGGCAAGAAATGTTATTAAATACTGATATTCACCAGGATATCTTGTTCTTCAGATTCAGTGGTATGTGTGCCCTTTTCACGTTTACAGAATTCAATGCCTCCCCCCACCCTCCCCCCCACACACACTTTGGGGTATTGATAAAAGGGGATAAAAAAAAAAACTGCTCAGATACCCTAGCTCTGGATTTTCCAGGCGGTTCGACAGGGGCCGGGTCAGAAAGTAAGCCTACTACATAGATGGCCAGTCCAAAAGACACCCGCACCTTATTTTTAACTGAAGCCTGGGAGCCTCTCTGAGGGTTCCCAGATCACCTTTGGTGAGCGAGGAAAAGAAAAGGTGGTGGGGGTGGTGGTGGGAACAACCAAAAAAAAAAAAAAAACACCCGATGTCCATGATGCTAACCTAAAGCTCGTCGGCCCATCGTCGGCCCGGCGGCCAGCTCCGAGTCACCCTGGGTGGCTGCAAGCAACCCAGAAGCAACCAGGAGGATTAAAAAAAAAAAAGGTAGAGAGAGAGAATGAGAGAGAGACTTACTCATCCCTGCAAATGCAGCTTCCTGAGCCTGGGGAACTGCAGGAAGGCACCGCGGCGGCGGTGAACCCTGGCTCACACCCCCTTACGCTCACTCGGGAGCTGGGGAGTAGGGTGGGCATAAGAGGAGGAGATGGGAGGGTCGGCCAGGGCCGGCCGGGGGGGGGGGGGGGGGTGGGGTGGGGAGGGGCACACACACGCACTCGCATGCATGCATGCACACACACGCATGCATGCACACGCTCACACACGCGCGCGCACGCACACACACACACACACTCTCACACAAAAGGGGCCTCACCAGGACCGTGGTGCAGATGGAGCGCAGCTCCGACTCCACTTTCTCCCGGTAGTCCTTGATGAGCTGCAGCTTCTTGTCCGAGCTGTCCGTCTTCTGCTCGATGCTCGAGATGACCCGCCAGGCGGAGCGGCGGCCGCCCACCACGTTCTTGTAGGCCACCGAGAGCAGGTTGCGCTCCTCGTTGGACAGCTCGGCGCCCTGCTCCGTCACGGCCTTCATGCAGGTGGCCATGTCGTCGTAGCGCTCGGCCTGCTCGGCCAGCTTGGCCTTCTGGATCAGCTCCGTCTTCTCCATGAGGGGGGACCGGGGCGGGGGGCGGGGGAAGAGGGCGAGCGGCAGCGGCGGCGGCGGCGGCGGCGAGCGAGGCGCGAGGAGCGACGGGCGACCCGGGGCGGGGGTGGGGGGCGTGCTAGGGCGGCGTGCGCGGGGGGGCCTGCGGGCGGGGAGTGGGGGGGCGCGGACAAAAGCCGGGGGTGGGGGGGTGGGGAGGGGGGGCGCCGTCAGACAATGCGCCGGGGACGCCCGTCCGCCCACCGCCCCTTTTGTCCGTCCCCGCACGCGCGGGCCCGGTTCGGTGTCCGCCCCCCAACCCCCCTCCCGGGCCCACAGGAAGCCGCGGGGCGAGAGCCGCCGCGCCCGGCCGGGCTGAGGAGGAAGAGGAGGAGGAGGAGGAGGAGGAGGAAGAAGGGCCGTTCCCGCGCCCGCCCGGCCCAATATGGAAGCGGCCGTTGGCCCGCACCTTCCCGCCCGGAGCGTCTCCTCAGGGGAGCGGCGTCGAGGACGGCCGCCCTCCGGGAGGCGACGCGGGAGGTTGGGGGTGAGGTGAGGAGGGCGGGGGGGAAGCTCCTGGCTCGGATCTCTCACACCTTAACGCCCGAACCCGGAGCGGGTCGCAGTAAAGGGGCGTGTGTGTATGTGTGTGTGTGTGTGCGATGTGTGTGTGGGGGGGGGTATGGGGGCGGGGAGGCGACCCTGAAACTCACCTTCACGTCTCCGCGGCCGCGGCGCGAGTCCCACCACTTTGATCCGCTCTGGGCTGGCGCCGAGGACCCTCCCGTCTCAGCCTACTCCCGAGCCGAGCGGGGCGGGCCGCCGCGCGACCGCCCTCGCCCGCCGCCCAATGAGGCGGCGGCGTTGCTCGGCCAGTCCCGCCTCCCGCCTTGCCGGCGGCCAATGAGGGTGGAGCGCGCGGAAGGGGGCGAAAGGGGCGGGGCTGAGGGGGGGGCGAAGCGGAGGCTCGGAGGGTGGGTCGGCTTGGGCAAGTTCGGTTGGCCGTCAGGCTGCGGCTTCGGCCACGGGGTTTCCTCCAATTAGATCCAGGGTACAAGGACGTCACTGTTGCCATGGCGATGCTGTTACCAACTCCCCTCATCCTCCCCGCCACCCCCGGTGTACTTCGGGGTGCGGCACGGGAGCGAGGTGGCGAGCACCACCGACCACTCTCTCTCTCTTGCTGTGGCCGGCTCTCCTTGCTGCAGCATCTCGTGGGCTAATGCAGCTGCGGCTCGCCGTGGCCGCGGTGAGGTCGAGCCGGGAGGGTGGTAACACATTGGCTGCGAAATGCAAAGCGCCTTTCTTTCTTCCACCTTGCTCTTCCTGACAAAGGTCTGGAGCACAATACACCGAGGACCATCCTTGAATGATACTGTGACTGGGGGTGCGAATTAGAAATGATCCCATCCCCATTAAAGAAGAATTATGACTTGGGGAATAAAAAAAGAGGCTTAACTATGATTTTTTTTTCCTTCCTCTGATAATTCAAGTTTTCAGGCCCGTACACAAGCCCCAAATTTCCCTCGTAAAGGTCCCAGGAGATTCCAGGCAGGTTTCCTTGGCAATGCCAAGTGTTTTTATTATTTTTTAAATTGTGACAAACGTGAAGGACCGTTTAGTAGAACAAACATTCGACAATATCTTCCAAAATAGCAAATTTGTTTTTCCAGCCTTTCCAGGTTGCCCACCTAAATACTTATCTGAGATACACTTTTGATTTTCTGATGTTAGTTTTTAAGGGCCTCCTGAAAAGTTAAAGCTTCTCTCCCTAAGCTGTCAACTTCAGACTTTCCCTAGTGAACACCTTCTGAAGTGTGCAGGATTGCTTCAGATGCCTTTTAAGCCCTGTACTCACTTTCTCCTTAAACTAAGGCACGCCCTTAGGGCCACTCCCTTCTCTCCTGGCACTTGCCTAGTGCCCCGCCTCCAAAGGAGGTGGCTGTCCTGGGCATCTGGAAAATGCCTTTGTGTCTTCACGTTGAGATGAAAATTGCATCTGGGTTCCTCCAACGATGCCTTCTGCTGTAGCCCATCCACGGGGGCGTGGTGCATTGCAAGCCAAGAAAGGCCAAGGCCAAAAGAAGAATGTCCCACACTAAGAGGAGGTTGGAGGAGCTCTGGAGAAGCTCTAGAAAGGATCATCTAAGAGCGCAGACAGTGGCAAAAGGAGGTGTGGACTTTGCAGAAACCTAAACTCCCTCCCAGCGACCCCTCCCTGCCCTGATTTGTAAAGGTTGCTTTGTGCTTTGACAGGCAGGAGAAGCCTGGACTGGAAAGGGCCTGTGTTCTCCATGCAGAAATGCTTTACACTGTCCAGTGTTCTAATGGAGAGCCCTGCTGTTATTTCTGGAATCCCTGGGGCCAGGCTGCAGACACAGAGTGTTTATAGCCGTGTGGGCTGGGGTGGAGCTGGACACCAAGAAATCCCAATGGAAAGAATTTGCATGTGGAAGGTCAGATAAAATGCTTTCTGTATGACCAGTGAATTTCAAGCTTACCAATTACAGACAGTCCAGGAGAGGACTGAAAACAGTGAAAGCAGGGGCTGGGGAAGTGGAGACCCTGCAGGGAAATTGTCAGGAAACTAGATCTGCGTAGAAAGGAAGGAAGGAAGGAAGGAAGGAAGGAAGGAAGGAAGGAAGGAAGGAAGGAAACAGCAAATCTCTGATTCTTTGTCTTGGGCGGCACTGGCCTGTCTCAAGGTGACTACACAAGCTTTCACTAAGCTCTTCTGTAGTCTCTAAAATTTCAGCTTTCGTTCAATCATCACCCTCACTGTCCGCCCATGGTTCATCGATTTGCTCTAGTGGGCCCAGTAACATTGTGAGACTTGTTACTGCGTTTGGCATATCGAATACGACATGGGGAGCTTACCAGGCTTTGCCGTGCAGGCGAGATACTCTCGGTAGCTTGCCAGGCTCTCAGAGAGGGGCGGAGGAATTGAACTCAGGTCGGCCAGGTTGGCTGCATGCAAGGCAAACGCCCTACCTGCTGGGCTGGGCATTCAGTCATCAATATTTCCTAAATACCAGCTCCAGAAATACGGAATCAGGAGTAAGAACTGTTTTAAACAATGGCAACTTAGGAAATTGTAATGTTTATTTGTGGGCAGGTGGGTTCCGAAGCAGAGATCTCAGTCGTGCTAGGACCACTCCTAGTGATACTCAGCAAATGAAGCCAGATAATTTGATACTAGGACCTAACCCTACTAAAGCCCTTGTAGGGGCTGTCAGGGTCTCTCTCACCAGTCAATGCATTGCCAGGGCTTGAACCTAATCCAGTGCTTACAGAGCATGCATCTATCTCCCTGTCAAGCAGTTGGGGGGGAGGGTAGGAGAATAACATATATCTAAATAACTTTGAATGTGAAAGAACTGAGGCAGCACAAGTGAAAGTCATGAGAACTTGGAGTCCTTTGGACATACATAGCTAATATTTATGGAGTGATTTTGTATGCAAAAAATGGCTATTGTAAGTTTTTTTTTGCAAATATTACAAGTGCTTAATGTCACCATGAAGTGGATACATTATGACCAACATTTCCATTTATTAGATAAGGAAATGGGAGCACAGAGAAGTGATTATGCACAAGGCCACCCAGTGAGCAAGGCCCAAAGCCTGAATATCCTCCTGAACTCTCCCGCGCCCCCCCCAACCCCCCACCCCTGCAGTGCATATTCTGGGCACCAAAGCCCACTGGAGTAGCAACTGTTTCAGATCTTATTTGTTCTGTAAGGACTCCAGGAATGTGAGTGTCAATCCTCCAGGAATTTCAGCTTAGAAAATAGGAAATGTGTTACACGTTCCCATGCAAACTGTTAGGGAAAACTCAAGGGAATGGAGCATACACGACAGTGACAGGTCTGAGAAGTTATTGCTTTATTTGTTTGATTTTTTTTTCTAAATTACTTGGTGAGAAGAAGCTTCTGGAGCGAGAAGGAGCTGGCTGAGCTTGAAGCCAAAAGAGCCTCCATCCCAGCCCTGCTCTTTCTTTATTTGCAGCATGACCTCGACCTTGAACTCCATTACTGTCTCTCTGCACTTCTGTTTCCTGAGGTGGCAAAATAATCCTACTTCCAGTGGTTAGGAAGCGATCACAGGAAAATTCTGGTTATATCATGTGTTCACAAATACTGCTCTTTATTCCTTCTTTTCCCTCTGCGGGTGGCTCTCCTGTTGCAAGGAGTCTTAGTGCCTTGTGAGATGTTAGTGAAGGCTTGTCTCTGGAATCCTGATTGTAATTAGTGAAGTTAATGGACTGCAGAATGGTTCTATTCCACATGCATTTTTGAATGAATGAAATGAATCCTTTCCTTGGAACTTACCCTTATAAACTGCTTCATTATTTTATTTGCCTAAACCTGAGGATCTTCTACGAGGCAAGATTTTTTTCCAACAGTTGAGAGGAATTTTTCACTGCCAATTCCCATATGACCATTATCAATATTTCTGCTTAGGGGGTGAAGAGATGTGCCATTATCCACTCCACCTGCAGGTGCTGCATGAGATTTGGGGAGAGTCAGCACAAGAGAGGTAACGGCTGACATATGCCCAGGTCTAGGTGGGGTCAGGTCCCTAGAGTCTAGTCTTCCTCAAACTGGCAGCAGAAGGGTGATTCTTACCATCAACAAACCTCTCTATCTATGCGCCTGGGTATACGCCTTTCTGGAATCTCCCACTCCCCACCGTGATCCTGTGATGCTCAGGGATCACATGAGATGCTGAGGATATGAGAACCTATGAGAACCAGGGTTAGTCACATGACAGTAAGCACCTTACTCCCACACTATGTCTCTCACCCTGCCATGACTTGCATTTTATAAGGAAAGAAAATGCTTATATTTGCTGAATAAAACTTTGCTGTTAGAATTTCAGGCATTCTAGGGGTTGGGAATATGGTCCAGCTGTATAGTACTTGCCTTGTATATGTGAGGCCCCAGGTTCCATTCCACAGAATGCAGAAAGAGGAAGGAAGGAAGGAAGGAAGGAAGGAAGGAAGGAAGGAAGGAAGGAAGGAAGGAAGGAAGGGAGGGAGGGAGGGAGGGAGGGAGGGAGGGAGGGAGGGAGGGAGGAGG